ATCCTGATTTATATGCATTTCCAAATTGATCAGATCTTGCCCAATTGCTTTTGGTTTTATTTGTTTTTTTTAAAGCACTCATTTCAGTTCTTATATTTATCACTTCCTTTACTTTTTTGCTCAATAATTCAGTAATTTCAGTAATTACCTTATCTCTTGTATTTAGGCTTTTTATTGTAATCGTATTCATTCATTTTTTTTACTTGGTAGTATCGTTACATTGCTCAAAACTCAAAAATAGTTACACTGCTCAAAACTCAAAACTTTACAGAGGGTAAACAGCAAAATCTTCCTGTCATTGTTCTCAGGATCTTGTACCCTTTAGAAGCAAGCAAGCTCAGAAATTTCTTGGGCAGTTCTCCAAAGACAGTGTAAGAATTATCCAGTACATATATACCTAAATATGCTCCCTCCACCTCTTTTTAATATAAAAGGTAGCATACTATCTGTACCACAGTGAATAATTAACATGTTTTAAATTTGCAGTTTCTCCTATAGCTTGCTTTTTTTTTTCCCCTCTTGGGTCCCCCAAAAGACCCAATCCAAAATTTTTTCAGTCTTTTGACCTCTACTATTGCTGAGAAATCTGATTCCAATAATTATTTTTTAAAATTTTTTAGTTATAGGTGGACACAATATCTTTGTTTCATTTTTATGTGGTGCTGAGGATCGAACATCATGCATGTTGGGCGAGTGCTCTTCATATGAGCCACAATCCCATCCCTGATTTCAATAATTATTTACCTTTATAAATAACTTTTCTTTCATTGTAGAAGCTTTGAAGATTTTCTTTTTGCCTTGTCTGGGTGTGGAAATATTTTTATTTATCCTACGTAGTACCTAGAATGCTCTTTTAATCTCAGGAGTCATATGTTCTTCCCATTCTGGAAAATTCTTGGCTATTTTCCCTTTACTTATATCATCACTCCCCCCTCCCCCCATTAGTTTCTCTATTTTGTTCTTTAGGAAGGTATATTAAATAACGTGGTGATCTATGACTGGGGTAAACAGAAAGCACACTTGCATACCATGTTTCCTTTGACATTTAGTTTTCTGAGGAGTTCTTGGAGGGAACAAGCCTATGAGTCTAAGCTTTGTGGTTATAATAGCAGATAATAAGCATAAGAAAATTATCTCCTAAATAGGCTCACAGTGGAAAGATTGTGAAGATAGAAAAAGGCATTTATTTCCCTTGAAAAGGAATAGCTTAGAGTCTCTGAAAGGGCCCATTGGAAGGACCTACAAATGATTAAGTGTTATTTTTTTTTATGTATGTGTGCGAGTATTTTTAGAACAATATAGTTATTAGCAACAATTATCCAGTTAAGAGAGGTTCCAATAAAAGGAAAAATTTAAATCTCCTAACAGAGTCTGGAGGTGCACATCCTTGCCATCTCTCTCCTAATGATTGTAAGATGCCTGCATAGTTATAAGCATCGTATCTTATCACCCCATTCATACATCACAGGAAAAAGGCAAAAATGGGGATGCAAATATTTTTACCATTGCTTGTCTCTTATTTGTTTGGGGAAAAACTTACTTCCAATCAGCCCCCTCCCACCTGCCAAAGATCTCTTTATGTCCTAGTGGAGAACATGATCACACACTTGCTGTTATACCAGATATGGGATAAGGGGAATAGAATTAGTACTGGTTTAGTCAACTCATATTTTTTTCCCCCCGAGTCTGGTCATATTGCTGCCTGCACAAAATTAGGTTCTTTGTTTTTTTAGTAAGAAAGGGGAGAGATGACTCTTAAATCTATTGATATACAACAGATTCACTACCAAGATTGAATAGATTCAAGTTATTATTTTCTATATTCATGGAAGAAAGAAAAAGAAGTAGGATCTTTCTCTCCTTTTCTGTCTCATTGCTATAAATAAAGGAGAGCAGGTTGAGTGCAATGGAATCATATGGACTATAAATTCTTAAAAAAAGAAATTTGGTCTATCAATCTGCCATCAGTTAGTTCTGTGGCTTTGGGCATATTGCTAGGCCTCAGTTTTCCCACCTATGAAGTAAGAAGGATTGGATTAGATGACTATTAAGTGACTTTTCATCTCAAGTTTCCACAAGGTTTTGAATCAATGGATAGTTTAAACATGAAATTTTATAGCTCAGCCAAGCTTTGCACCATATTGATTCCAAAGAACTAATATGGATTACAGAGGAATCTAATTTAAGAGTAAGAGAATACCTAGGCGAGTTTTGGGCCCATCATCTAGATTTAAGTTTTGACTAACAAAATTATACTCAGACACTTTATGTTGAATTCATCTGGGAAGAATGTTTTTCAGTCAGTCATGCCAAAAGAGTATTACTAAGTGATCTGTGGAGGAATGAGTTTTGAGGTAAAAATAAATCCAGCATGATGCTGGATTAATCACATTTAAATAGATTTATTTTATCACAGGATTTCTTAGAGGATTTGCAATACTAAAGTGTACTGTGAATCTCCCAAAGAGATTTATCATCTCCCAACTTTAATTTTGACTACAAATTCTTTTTCCATGGAACATTGAATTATTTTCCATTTTAAAAAATGATGACATTGCCTAACATCTGTATGGAGTTGGTCTAATTAACAAAATATTTTTATAAACATTATCTTTTAGTTATAGGAAAACCCTTCTTTTTTTTACCCTTTTTTAAACTGACCATTTGATATATTACACAATGCCAATTTAGTAATGCTATTCTAGAAATAGAAACAAATGGTATGCTAAATACACACATGAATCATACCACACATATTTAGTAAGTGTTAAGTGGTATAAACACTTAGTATTGTAAAGATACAACATTACAGGCAAAGCATTTTTTCCTCCTAGTATTTTAGCTTATTTATCAATAATCATTTTTTAGCCATCTTTGTGAAACATTTCACAGAACGAAAGTTGAGAAAAACATATTTGGAGCGATGACAGTTGGAACTATTTTTCCAGATATGCTATAATAAATTGCATATGTACTCAAATTCATTTAAAAAAAGAAAGAGCAGGAAGATAGTAAAAAAGAGTAAGTAAATTCCTAAGGCTTTTAAAAATAAGTCAGTCAACAAGGCTATTCCCGGGCAGAAGCTTCATAAGATCTGCTGTCAGTCTAAAATCTAAAGTAATCTTTGTAGACACTGAACTGCATAAAAATAGTAATGGGTTTCCATTTCCTTTATGTGGCTAATAATGGAAAGGTATTGCCTATTGGGAGAGCCAACTTGCTTCCTGAGCTGACAGTAAGGGAGAATGCGGAGGAATTTAGGAGCAACTATCAGGGGAGCACACCAGTCTCAACTGGGTTAGTAGAGTAAGCAGCCTACACACAAACAAACAAAAATTTATAAAATATGTCATGGGTATGAGCTCTTGTGGGGGTAAACCAGTAGTCAATGAGCATGTAGTACCAGAAATCACTTCTAAGTATGTCAAATATCTAAACCTCAGGAAAAGTGGAAAAGAAAGTTCAAGATGCAACTTCTTCCAATAACAGAATTGTTAATAATAACTATAATAAAAATGATGAAAGATTTGTTAAACCATGACTTAATATCTATTATCGCATGAGATCCTATGAACCAGTTGAGTATAAGAAAACAGGCTCAGACATGTTGGAATACTGCCCAAGTTCTTGAGAACTGTGACTAGGTCATGGGAAGTGATTTTTAGGATGATAATGTATGTGTATATCATGGATGGGTAGGAGGAGACAACCAAGGTTGGCAGAGGAAGAGGATGTAAACCCACAATGGATTGGTGTTAGACACATCCAACGTATCCATGATTTTCATTTTAAATTATTGTTGAAACTTTAAGATATTATTTAATATACAATAGTGATTTCAGAGATCCCTTTATGGTTGTACTCTTCTAATAAAAAAATGTCATTAGTTGTTTTTTTTTAAATTAAATTTGTAGTCATTACAAGCTACCTAATTAGACAACATCGCCATCTAGTGGCTGAAACATACTATGTTTACTACTTTTGGGGTGGGAACTGGGGGCTTAAGGGCTCTGAGCCCAGTAGGTACAATACTAATAGTGTTGCCAAAGATGCACCAAGAGCACACAAACTCATTCAGAGCAAACAGGCATTAATATTGAGCTATAGAGCCCACTCTGGCCCCAAACCTTTAACAGCTCACTAAGAAAAAACTACCACTATTGAAAAAAGGTTTTGACCTGCTTCACTTATTTATTTTCTCTGAATTTTTAAGGTCCATTTCTCACTCCTTTGTTCACTACTTGCTTGAAATAATTTTCAAACATTCTCTCATCTTTGCATCTCATCTGGATGTTGTGCTATGCAACTATGACCAGGTAAAGAAGCAGTTGCCAATGGTGGCCAATAACACACAGGAAGTATTAAATAATATTCTTATTTAACCCTTAACAGAAACTTAGAATGTGTTCTAGATGGGCAAACAAGAGCTAGGATATGGTCTAAACAAAATGAAGGTGTAAGGAAAAATAAAAAAGGAAAACATTTACAAGATTGGAGCAGATGTGATATCAATGGATGTTCCCAATATTCTAGAGATAAAGGCCCTCTAGCAAACATCCCTGGGGCCTTTTCTTAAGTTAAAATAAGATATTCACAGCTTCTTCTGATTAATTTATGTAACCCTTTGCTTCTGTAACTAGGCCACTTATTGAAATCACCATCTACATGCTGAAAGGGCATAGAAAGATGAAGACAGAACCACATACTTGGGACAGGACCACTAGCAGAATACAACTGGTGTGTTCTTTCCAAGCCCCATTTTTGACAAAATAAATGTAGAATAAAAGAACATCAGTCTAGATCTGTGTGAATAAAGGAACAGTGGAAAAACTGGAAGAGGCAATTTTCAGAAATCCAAAAATGTGACTCTCCCAAATTTGCCTCACAGTCTGAATCATGCCCATGCAAATGGATCTTAGTTTAAGTTCACATCAGAAAAATCCGGAAAAGACTTACTTCCCATAGGCAAATCTCTGAAGAAACCCACTGCGGGTTCTTACCTATAATAAAAAGGATCTCCACTGCTATGTCGCTGACTGTCGTGCTGCGAGTGGTGGACAGGTCATCGTTGCCAATAAAGCAGACGTTGTAAGGTACAGTCACGGCAACATAAAACGTCGCCAATAAGATAAGCCAGTCCCAGCCAGCTTTAAAAGTGCTAAAATGCAAAAGTATGAATTTGGACTTTTTTGCATCGGAAACTTTATACTCCGGAAATGCTGGTTTATCTACAAAAACATTCTGTGGATAAAGACAAAAAGAAAAGAATGGGAAAAGAGACATTAGAGACAAGAATTACACTGCTTTAAACACATACCTGTGGGAGGAGAATCATGCATGACACATGTCAGCACATGTTATGAGTAAAACCTGACATGTACATAGAGTCATGCACCATGTAACTATGTTAATCCATGATGGACTTCACATACGGTGGTCCCATAAGATTACAACAGAACCAAAATATTCCTATTGCCTGGTGACATGGTTGCTTTTGTAATGTTGTAGCTCAACATAGTGTTCCCCTATTTGTGATGCTGCTGCTATAAACAAACCTACAGAGCTGCAAGTCACATAAAAGCATTTCCATACAATTATGTCCAGTGCATGACACTTGGTAGTGGTAATGAGCAACTGTGTTACTGATTTATGTTCATACTATCTGTACTTTTTCTTTGTAGATCAGAAAATCCACTTTCATAAGGCAATTTTTATATCTTGGCAAAGTAGGAAGTATTGGATTAGCATAGTAATCTAGAAATTGTCTCAAAGAAAAAGTAATGTGAGTCTATCTTAGGAGTATGTTGATAAAACATATGCAAGTTATTTTCACTATGATTCTCAAAATGGGAATAAAATGTTACAATTGTAAATAAAAGCAAGAATTAAAAAAGTGTCACTACTTTGGAAGTTCTCCTTTACTTCTTGTGATGGATTAGAATTGACACTTAGTCCTTTAATGTATTCATTTTTAAAGAAGTAAATTACTGGGGTGATTATATAGGAGTTTGAGTTGTGCATTTTTTAAAAAAGTTTCTTTTAAAAGAATAATTAGAAAAGAAAACTTAGTTGTCTTCCAGAAAATGAGAACTCTGGTGTAAAAGTGCAAATTTATATTGTAGGATGCTTCATGAATCTTTAAATCTCAAATTTAAAACAGAATCAATAGTGCTATTTATTAACTTGGAAATTCCAGGAAACACAAAAGAATGGCCAGTGTGCAGTCAGTTGGAATTCCATATCATTCAAGGTTTAGTGGATAATTTAAAATAGAAAACTAATTATTGAAAAGATCAAATAAATAAGGCTCCAAACTTGTAGGGGGTAGTGGGTATATCTCTTTTTAAAGGAAGGGCCTTTTCCCACTACTTTTACTCGAGTTACTTGGAAGAGAAAATAATGACTGCTAACTGGACAGTGGAGTCAAGTGGCTTTCCATTTGAAATTCACTCGGAAAGGTGCCAGCATCCATTCCATCCCACATTCTGGTTTTCTCTTCCTGGTGACACTTACAGGCCAGCTTCCATGAATACCTCTTGCTTTATGTACTTTTTATTATTATTTTAGAGTGTGCTCCTAATAGTGAAAAAAAATGACTATAAAACAGCAGCCTCATACATCTCCTGTTTACATCATCTGTTGATGGCATTAAGGGGCCACACTCTATGACGTTTCCCTTGACGATGAGATCACCTAACACATTTTTCAGAATGTCTCCCTGCTGTTACGTGATGCATGACTGTACTAAAACTGAGCAGAGATCTTTGCTAAAGGTAATAACACTGCGTAGAATTTTGTCATGAAAGTAAGCAGTCCAGATTTTGTTCATTAAAAACAAAAAGACCATTATCTAAAATGTCATCTAAAATATCTACAGTTGCAAGTATAATCCTACACACAGCACAAACACTGAGATGCATTTATATACTTATTGCCATGAGGACACTCTGTATTTTTAAAAGACAGTCATTATCTAGAGAATATATTTGACCTGAGATTCTGCTGATATCAGCAAATATGGCTTTTTTTTCTAGAAAGGAGATTACTAATAGTCTACTGTAAAAACCTATTTACACATTTTTCAAAATATAATCAGGTTGTGCATGCATTCTTTTTTCTTTTTTTTTTTTTTTTTTGCATTGTGGTTGATGGTGAAGTTTCTAGTTGGGACCCCAAATCTTGTTGCTTTAGTTAACATGGATACATTCTGAAACTGGGCAGCCATTGGTTAGATGGTAAAGAGAGGAACAGTTACTTAAGGGTTATTATTCAAGTCATGGGAGGAGAAAAGCAATGTTCACTGTGCAACTGATTAAATGCAGAAGAATAACTCGAGTTTTTGATAACTGTAAAAGCATTTCACTTGAAAGCAGTCCAACTTGATGAACAGTTCCTTTATTGCTATGAGACAAAGGGAGGCCCAACAATAGCATGTGTGGAAATTTGACAAGTCTATGACCAGATACTTGCAGACCTTGCTTTGACCTCAATTAATGAGAAATACAAGATAGGTAATGAAAACTTAAATTTGAAAGTTAGGTTGAATTAACAGAGCAGTTAAAAGTTCCAGAATACATATTACTTGCAGGTCACAGTGTTATTTTCTTGTCTCAGTCACTGAGGGAAAGGCAGATTAATGTGGTGTGCTCAGAGAGCCCTGAATATCTGAGATTCAGGGAAAATTCAGAGAGATCTGGAACACTTAGCTCCTAGTGGTGGTTATCGGTGAGTAAATGGTTCTCCTACCCTAATATGAATGCCCCCGTGTCTGGTGTGTCTCTGAGGTAGGCATTCTCAACATGTGTTTGTACTTCCTGTCAACACTCTCACTCAATCCACCCAGGCACTTCCTGGTCTGGGGCCTCATGGTAGGGAACTGCTCCACTACTTCCAGATGATTCTTTGGTGTCCACCTGCTTCCACTGCATCTTTGTTCCACCCAATTTCCTCATATTGGACCTTTTGCCTCATTTTCTGGTTTTGAGGAATAAGTTCCAAAGGTGGACATTGGCTTAACACCGAGAAAAACAGATGAAATTCTCTGTTGAGCTTCTCATTAGAACTTCGGCAGGTGAAGTGAAGAGGGAGTTAGGGTCTGCAAGGATCCATCTCCTCCAAATCGATACGTACTTCTAGATATAACACTAAGGTAGGTTCTAATATAACTTTTCCCCTTAATACTTATTGTACCAAGAAATGTTCAGAAGCCCTGGGGAGCATCTCACTTTCCATCCAACAGGTTTTTTTACTGTCATGCTACAGAAATTGAAATTTTGCCTTATTAAAGGAAGAAAGCAAGTCTAGGATGAGGATTGGGAAAAATAACAGAGTGAGTAAAGTGTTTTCTTTGTATAATGCTAATTGCAGGAAATATTAGTGAAGCTCATGCAAAAGTTCAGCAATACATTTGTTATATCTGCTAATCAGATTTCATTTTCATAGGCTACTTAAACATTATTTTAAATGATGTTAGATTATTGTTAAAGCATATTACTTTAAAATTATGCTGAGAATTCTGTACATCTTAGATTAGACTTAAGTTTTGAAATATTATTAACTCAAATCCTGCACACATCTCTACACCATCACCTAAGTGAAAACAAAAATAGATGCTCCTTTATTCCCACTACTATATTTATAAAATTTTATCAAAACCATTTAAATGGAAGAAAATTTCTTAGAATTGTTTTTAAAAAAGGAAACATTTGTAAAATTTTGCTTTTAGAAGGAAATAGGGTGAAAATTCCTATTATTTATGACCCTCAAACATATGGTGTTTGCCTAAGGTATGATACAACCAATTTGTCTAGACTTTATATATTACTGATTGATTTTGAAGCATATTGCTTTAGTGCAAATCATGCCTTTTTTTTCTTTTTATTTTTTTGGTACTGGAGATCAATCCCAGGGGCACTTAACCACTGAGCCACATCCCCAACCCTTTTTTAGTTTTACTGTGAGATATGGTCTCACTAAGTTGCTTAGGGCCTCAATAAATTGCTGAGGCTGGCTTTGAACTTACAATCTATCTGTCAGCCTCCTGAGTTGCTGGAATTACAGATATGCACCACCACACCTGGCTGCCAACCATGCTTTCGCAGTTTACCTCTACCTATGAATCATTTAAATAATTGTTAACTCAATGCCTAATTAAGGTAACTGTTTCCTAAAATATTATTACAACACTTCTTTGAAATGGTCATCTGAATGAGCAAGAGGGTAGGAAAATGCTTCTAAAGTCACTGCAGCACAGCCAAGCCCAGTGTATGTCTTTGAGGAAGACTAGCACAGGACCCCGCTGGTAATGGGCATTTATTTATAGCACTCTCCTTTCAAGCTTTGAAAATTCTCATGTGATCTTGTTTGAAACACTTTTATTATTCCATTCTCATTTAATGGACAGAGTAATAAATCAAGAAATGCGGAAATGAGGCACTAAAGCACAGGTGCCCCTAGAAAACCTTCATAATAAGTTCCAGGAAAAGGTAAGAGGCAGGACTACAGGTGTTAATAATGTCTCCATCCCCACCTTGCCAATAGCCTGATGAGTTCATTTGGCTATGGTTGGAGCACATGTGCCTATTCCATAGAACTGTCTCAAGGAGGATGCTAGGTAGAGGCAAAATAGTGACTTTTGGGAAGAAGATTAGGGTCCAAATCCTGTAGCTGCTGCTTCTACTTTTGAGACTCAGAACCAATTGTTTTTTTTTTTCTCCCATTTAAAAAATGCACTTATAAAAATAACACCTATGCCTTCTGGAGTAAAAGGAATTTTTAAATCAAATTGTTTTAAATAGTTTAGGGCTATCAATAATTAGGAATTCTTCTATGTGTATGCAAACATTGCAGCCAAAATTTCCCCAAAGATTTAGTTGAGAAATATCGAGATCATTTCCTTTTCTTCTCTCTTTCTGCTATCTGTCTTTTAGCCATTCTCCTCTGTTCTCCTTGAAAAGAGATGGTGAACACGACCTTCTGATTCCATACTCGGCTTCAGAGGTAACATTTACCTGTAATATCAGAGCCACTGTGTTGATCAGACAGCCTTAATTACTATGTATTATTTTAATGCTCCACCCTGATGTTTATACTTCTGAAATGAACAGCAATTAAGCAATTAGCTAAGCAGTGGGAGTTATGATTTTTTTTAAATCAGATTTTTAAGTAGTGTTTTGTACTTCATTGAATCTAAAGAGAAACATAGCAGGTTCAGCAAATGCATTTTAAAGTTTACTAATACTTGAAACATCCTTAAGTAATTCTCAACTAAGTGATTCCCAACTAAAAGCTAGAAGATACTGTCGGCTTTCAGAATAACAGAATCTGGGTAATATTTATTTAGGTGCTTTGCTGGTTAGGCTTGCACAATATTCAGCCCAGATGCGGGCACCTTTGTTTCTTCCTAGAATGTGTTTACTGTCACCAAGGCTGACTTGGTAATTTAAGGGAGATGTAAATAGGGACCAGGGAGGGTTAGGATCCATAGATCCAGTGGTGTGCACTGTCTCTCCCTGGATTCTTAAGTCTCTCCCTGGATTCTTACTAAGTCAATGTGACACTAAGGCACAGGTGCCCCTAGAAAACCTTCATAATAAGTCAGGACCAAAAAAGAAAAAAAAAAGTGTGTAAAGTGTGACACTCCACAGTAGTGCATGGCAGACCAGTCACAGATACGGCAGGTGATCCTTGGAGTATAAAGGTATCAAAACATCTTATTCTAGCCTCCAGAAAGAAATCATACTGAAGAACCAGTTTTGCAGCACTTCTGTGCTATTCTTCTCACTCTGTGTTTATACATCTTTCTTTGTTTACGACAATTAGAGAAACAGATACTTCGAATGTCTTATGTAAGGGTATCAAAACATTTATATAGGGGATTAGATAGTCCCAGAGCTTACCATGTAAGATGTTGAAGGTTCCCCTGTACCCTTAAGTCCCACAACTTCTGAAACTTAAACCAGTTCCAAGATAACTCTGGTTGTTTCAAATGTCATTGGCAAGTTAGACTGCATATTTAATTTGTCACTCATAATCACAGCACCCCAGATATGTCCTGATGATTCCACAATGGAAATTAATGACATTAACATCATTTTAAAAATTACCTTTGAACATCTACAACTAAACAGGCATGGTTCTGGGTTTCTCCATGAAGAGGGAATCTTTTTGTGCTAAAATCCAACTGAGTACAAAATTCTGAAGATATGTGTCATGTGAAACTCTCCAAAGAAATACTTTTTTTACTGGCATAGTTATTTGCTGTGACTTCAGACAGAAAAACACCAGGTTTCAAGGTTTCAGTAAGTAGCACCATTGTAATTTACCAACAGTGGGACTTTTAGAGAACTATAACATATGGCATGTAATTTCAAATCTAATGTTCCACTCTGTGAAATTTCCAACTGTTTTGCATAAAATATAAATATTTAAATGGAGTAATGACTTTGACTTTTCCTTGATCCCCCTGGGTAAACACATTAACAGAAATTAGATAAAGTGCAAAACAGATGAAACTAAAATTAAATTTGAGCAATCTGACCAACAAACTATGAGTGTGTAGTTGACTTGCTGCATCATCCTGTTTCATAAAATGTAACCAGTATGTCCCTATTTGCAGCACCCCCAGCACCATTTTGTACTATGCTGCAATATTATTCTAATCTCTGTACTGCGATAACGCTCTGATTAAGCACTTTTATTATAGAAATGCCTCATGACTGCTGACCTTTCCCAGTTTGGTCTTTGCAGGCAAGCATAAGCCAAAGTGGGGAAAAAGTCAGTAAATGAGCAATTGGAGCCTTTCTTTAGTGAATCAAATATTGCCACCAGGGGAAATTCTAACATTCATAGTGTATACACATACCACCTACATTATTTATTTTCAATTTGTTCTTTTCTCTTCTTTGCAGGTGCCCAGAGATGTGATAAAGGACAGCTCGGCTCCGTCTCCGGGCTGAGTCAAAGTGGGTTCCTGCTCTTGATCTTCCCTTGGCTTTATCTGGGGGAAAACAAAATGCATTAGATATCAATGAATATATCAGTTCATCCAATCAAAGTCATTTTGTAAGTTCACTTTTAAAAGCAAATAATACATAAATGTTTTAGAGCACCTAAAATAGTCTGCTTGATCCTTATAATATTTAATTGAATTTAGCCCATTATAATTTATATATTTTATCATTACATTAACTGCATTAATTTTTAAAAATTATAGTAAAACTTATATGAGAATATAGGAACTTTCAAATGATGCAGAAAAGTCTTAAGTAGTATTATTGTCTTCTTTCTGCTATTCCATGTGCAAATCCCTACTTCTATGCAATATTTAAAAAAGTTTCTTTCCAGAAAATTTCTAATCCACATATTATATGCATATATATAATTATTTTTCATGGTATAAATGGAAGTTTACTATAAAAAACTGTTTGCACATTACCTTCTTCACACCAAAATAACTTGTAAATCATTTGAAATCTGTACTACTCTCTCCCCCTTTATTTTAATGGCTAATAGAATACCATGCTAAGGAAAAGACTATACTTATTAATTTTATTCCTTATCATGACATGTAGGTTTATCCTGGATTTACAAAAAAATTCTCTGTAGAAAATCCTACAATGAAAATTATTAAATGCATGGAGCTTCAAGTTTGTGGACTGTCTAGATATTCAGTAAATAAATTGCCAGCAATGGGTATGTGCACTTTAAATTTTTGTGTTGATATCCTAAATTTTATTCCAGCAATTTACAATTGAAGCAAGGGAATAAATATACTTGCTTCACTGCACACATGTCCAGATTGAAAAACATTACAGGTGTTGTTTAATATTTTGATGTTGAAAAATATCAAATTATTGTTTGAAGTTATATTTGAAAAAACATGAATGGGTAAGAGCACATCTTTAAATGGACATTGTTCCTTTGCATTTATTTTTCTGAAGTTAATTCCTATTACTTTTGCTATTTTAAAAATTGAATTAATACTTTTCACCTTATTTATAACAGTTCTTAGTATAAAAAAGTCATTTTTTGTTGTATATTCTGCCAAAAATATTCTCAACTTTTATTTCACTTTGTATTTTATCTATGCTTCCTAAACATTTTTAAATTTTTTGATGTTGGACATATTGATCTATTTGTGGTATCTAGACATTATGTCATGTGTAGCAAAAATTTTCATTAAAAATTATTTTAAAAATCTATCCATACTTCTGATACGTTTATACCTTTATTTTTGAAATTTTGAAATTTAAATCTTTAATCAAATTCTATTTTAGTAAAATCAGGTCAAGAGCCAGTTATATATTTTTTTCAAAGTGTTATTCTCCAAAATAAATAAATAACATCATTATATTACATTAAGAAACAATTGTGTTTATTTGACCGATTGGTTAACGTAAATTTGTCCCAAATAAATTTTATCTATATTATAATGATTGAAATTATTTTTAAAATTAGTTACTATTGTTTGTCTAAATTTTACCATCAGATCTCTCTAGTCTTATGAATTCTCTCTTATTTTGCTCATTCACAAAAAATATTTGGTTTGGTGGCTATGTTGAGAAGGTATACAACTTATTGATGGCTACTGCGTGCCAAGCTTTGTTCTAGATCTTTCATATTTATCATTTCAAACAATCCTCATAATATTCATGATATAAGCATTACTACCCTCCATTCATAGATGAGAAAACTGAAGGGCCAATAGCATGCCATATGGTCATGCAGCTTGTAAGCAGCTGAGACAGACCTGGAGCCATGTTGGGCTAAAATCCCTATTACTTCCACAAGCAGCATCACATCCCTAAATGAAATCAGTCAATGTTCAGGCCTGTTGCGCTGTGATGAGTATCACCTACTGTGTTATTCCATTTATGTGACATTATCTAGACATTGGAGATAGGCATAGAGAAATGGGTATAACAGGTACTGCATATCTGAGGTTAGACTCCATGTCTTTAAAAAATTTAATGTCCCCCACCCTGCATTTCCCACAGGGATATTTCAATGATCAACAAAGAAGATGTTTTACTCACTGCAAAAGTATAATATGACATTACAGTTTTTTTAAAGAGAGAGAGAGAATTTCTTAATATTTATTTTTTAGTTTTCAGTAGACACAACATCTTTATTTTTATGTGGTGCTAAGGATCGAACCTAGCGCCCCGCGCATGCCGGGCGAGCGTGCTACCGCTTGAGCCACATCCCCAGCCCCACATTACAGTTTTTTTAAAATTGTTCAACTTTGCTGAATATTTTGAAAAAATTTTGAATAAAATATATATTACTATGAACACAAATCACTAAAAGTTTATTAAAAACAAAAAATAGTATCAAATAGGACAGTATTCTTAAAAATTCTTATTGAAAAAGACTTATTTTAGTGTGCTGTTAAAAGTTCTAATCATGTGTTTATGTGCTAAATTTTTTAGTTCACGTAGAACTATTATGAATTGCATTTGAAAATGTATTTTTTTTCTTATGGCAGGGTCTAATTTTAAATGTATTTAAATTTGAAAATAGAGTTTTAAGACAATGTATATAGGATTTGGGTACAGCCAGCAGGCTGCTTATGCAATATCATTTGGTTTCAAAATGCCAAGTGGAATTACAACACTTGAAAATGGAGCAGAGTAGATATTTATGACAGAAAGCCAATTCCCTTCTCAGTAGAGAAATATAATTAACAACTGAGATTTTCCAAATAAAACAACAGCAATTTCATCATCTTAAAACAAGGACCCCTCAAGGACAAATGTCAAAGAAACATTTGTCCTGGTCTTAACTCTAAATAGAAGAAAAAAAATGTTTCCTTGAAAACTTGAAAATCAAATGTTAAAACAAGAAACAACATCTAGTTAGAAAATAAGCAAATGACATGAATAGCATGAATAGCCATTTTATTAAAGAGCATATAAGAATGACAAATAATCATATCAAAAGATGTTAAAAAACCCTAGTCATCATGGCCATGAAAATTGAAACAGAAAATGAAATATCTATATGCACAACAGCTTAAATAAAAATAGTAACAATATCAAATTCTGCTGAGGATATAGAGAAACTGGATCTTCACACACTGCTGGTAGAAATGTAAAATAATACAGTCACTCTAGAACACAGTTTCACAATTTCTTGAAAAACAAAAAATCATAAACATTCTTCCCATATAAACCACCAAGTGCAATCTGGACAACTATTCCAGAGAAATAAAATATGTCCTCAAAACAAATCCCATGTACAATTGTCCACAGTAGCTTTCCTAGAAGTGGAACTAACCTAAATGTCCCTCAACATGTAAGTGGTTACACTGGTCTGTCCACACAGTGAAATACAACCTAGGAATAAAAAGGACAAATGACTGAGATAAGCAGCAATTTGGATGAGACTCCCTGGTATTATATTCACTGAAAAATAGCTGATTTCCAAAGGTTACATACTGTGTTGTTCCATTTATGTGACATTCTCTAGACATTGGAGATGTCAGTGGCAGATCAGTGGCAAGCAGGTATCAGGGAGGGTGGAGAACATGGCTATGGCGGAAGCAGAGGGAGATCATTGTAATGATGGGATAGCTGTGTGTCTTGATTGTGTTGGTGGCTACACAATTTACACGTGTGATTAAATGGTATAACACTACACACATACAGTATAACAAAGCCAGTTGGTTAGTTTTGATATTGCACCATATTATGTAAGTTATAACCACAGGAAGAACTGGGTAAAGGGTTCGTGGGCCTCTCTGTACTGACTGTGTAGCTTCCTGAGAATCTATAGTCATTTCACAATAAAGAGTAAATTATTTTTAGGTTGTATCCAGGTGTTAGTGTGTTTTTATTGATTTTAAGTGAAAAATATTGAGGCATTTTTAATAACTTGAAAATCAGGGGTGCTGGCCCATCCCAGGAGTATGTGTGAAGTTGAAAAAGGGTCATTCCTCAAAGTAATGAAGATGTTACTTTCACCTATTTTAAAATTGTTACAATGCATTGATTTTGTGAGAAGAAGACACTTGGCTATCTTGTGCCATAACATTTATCATTGAAAATGCACATTTACACACCCACAAGACCAGTGTGCATGTTTTTGTACTTATAGTTCATACATTTTGAGATACATACAGCTTATAACTGTATAACTAATATTTAAAGCAGAGTCTGGCTGATAACTGGTACTTTAATTTTCTTGATTGGTCTTATATTGGTCCTTTTATCAATTATTGTACTTCAGTTTGAATTTACAAATGCATATCCATATTTACTCATCTACTTCAAGCAAATCTAGATTAAACAAAAATACCTTTTTGCTTTCACAGCTATAGACTTGTCTTTGGAAGGAAAGCTTTAAAAAAGGGGGGAGTATAAATGTATAGTTAACAGTGTAAAATAATTTGACATCAGAGACTTCTTTAGAGGTAGACATTTCCCATTCCCACATATTCTAAAATATGCAGCAAACACTGGATTTGGATTTACATTATCCTTCTGGCCCCTACCAAATTTATTATTTTGGAACAACAGAAATATTACCTGAAAGTCTGAAACTTCAAGACCATTGTGAAACTGCTTTCGAAAATCATAACCTATTTGTGTAATTTTTTTTACTATAGGAAAGTATAAATGTATATAAAAGATGAGAGAATGGCCCACCATAAGGGTGAGTTATATTGATATGTGTATGTCCATATATATCGGTCTCCTATTATTGTCAAAAGACCCTTGACTGATACACTCATCACCCAGCTTCAACAAGTATGAATACAAGTATAGTATATACTTTTTATTTTTACCTACTTCACTCCTTCAGATACTCTTGAAGTAAATACAAGGTATCATATTTATCTATGTGTTTATTCATCTATCTACATACATAGCTACGGCACACTTATGATAAAATGTTTTTAAAACCCAATCATGATATCTAACACATGAAAAATATAATAATGTTGCAATTCCATCAAACATCCAGTCATTGAAAAGCTGTGGCTAAAGCTGGGAA